AGAATAGATACGCCATCTAGTTCACAGTCAGGTGAATATGTCGAAGATACTAGCGTTCCTGAGGAATCCAATTCTGAACCTGATGCAGGAGCATGCAATAATGAAGAATTGAAAGCAATTGTTGAAGTATGATATAAATTTTTTTAAAATTCTTCCTAAACCTGCTTTTTGTTTTGGAGTCAACAAGGATAGAATGATTTTAAAAAAAGTGTTTTCATTTCTGGATAGAACTGTTTTTCACTTTTTCTTCGCCTTCATTAATAATCTTACGTTGTGGAATTTTAGAACGCATTGCGCAGTCAAAGTGATAATTTGGAGGCGGCAAGGCAGATTGAAGGTGATGCCTCAAAGAAATTCGGAGGCCGTTTTAATGCGATTGTATCCGACGCTGAATTTGCATACGTTAATTGGTATGGAAAAATGAATTGTCAATTGAGGGTTGGCAATCGGCATTCACTGACTTGGGAAGACTAATTTCATTACTTTTTTTCACAGCTATTTTTTTATCTTTCTTTTACGAAAAACTTTCGCTGGTAGGAGCCCGTAATCTCCGAAAGGCACCCATTAAAAATGGTTTAAATCCCTCTTCCAAAAAAAAAAAAACACTAAAAATAGGATAGAAACAAACATACGAAGAAGAAAATGAGAATGAGGCAAGAAAAAAGTCAAGCAGAATGCCATATGTATGCCGATCTCAGGAATATTCCACATTATATATTTACTAAGCTTGGAAAAAAATGAAAAAAAAAAAAAAACAAAAAAAAAATTAAGAAAATGAAAAGTCGTTTAGTTTTTAAACTTTTATTTTTACTATATATTATATTATATTTAATATATCTCGACAGGAAAGAACCAGTTGTGTTCTTCCTATTTCAATTTGCTCATTGAAACCGATTTTTTTTTTTATCATGATCATTACCACTGCCACCACCATCAGCGTTACTGCCACTGTTATCATAACCATCGTCACTGTCATCATCATTTTCACTTACAACTAAAATTTGCAAATTTAGCCAATACATTTCACTTACTATTATTTTTTTATTTAAAACAAAAAAGAACTTAACTTTTTGTTATTCTTTTTTTTGCAATTTTCTAGGGCTTTCTGTCTCTAAGTTAGTGCACTTATTTTGTATTTCGTTTCCGAATTAATGCATACACAGTGAAGTCACTACAGTCTCGTAAAAACTCCTCTTCCACCTTCTTCTGCTCCTCTTTCAATGGTTTTGTTCATTCGTTTTAACTTTAATTATGAAGAGAAAATAAAAAAATTAAAGAATTAAAAAAAGCGGATTTACAACCAAAAACAATATTTGTAGAATGTTGTCAACTAGAAAAAAAAATAAAAAATAAAATAGGTACAGGAAAAAATAAAACAAAAAGAACATACTGAAATAAAAAATGTCAAGAAATTAGTTGTTTTTCTACGTAAACGAACGACTTTTTAATCCATCGCTTTGAAAAAAAAAAAAAAAAAAAA